GCCTCATCAACTTCCTCGTCTTGATAAAGCAATCTGAAGACAAATTACAACCATGTCAGTGTTTATACGATTAAAAAGTGGTGTTAAGAGAGCTGCATGGTGAAAATTAAATCTGAGATAGCAGAAGCATAGCTATGCTTGTGTGTTAGCTACACAAACCTCCAGGACCAAGTTCTCTGTGTTCTGAGTCTAAAAAAGACCAAATCAGTTGGCTTAGCCTTTGAAGAGCTATCAGATCTCATATTTCACATCACTGTGAACTGTCACTTTATACATCTTATTTAAATAGTTCTAGAGAATTCATACTACAAATATGTTGCAATGATTTTACTGATTTCCTTTTTAGGTAAAGGCATTTTAAAACCCCTTACTTAAGCTGTGATTTAAAGGCTGTACACTTTCCCCTTTTGTCAGTTACTTCCCTCTTTCAAAGCTCAGCAGTTTTCTACAACAGTCACTTTAGTAGCTTAACTAAATCATATGTTGCTGTGAGCCCCTTTTGCCCTGTAACAACGCTAGAAACCAAAAAAAGAATTATGTAAAACATCAGTGGCTCCTGAATGGCTGAGTTCCCACTCAGCAAGGTTTCGCACACAGACACGTTTTGAGGATGCAGCTGAAGTGTGGTTCATACACTTGGTTCTTCCACCTTGTGCCATTTCTGAACACTACAGTCTCCTGCTCTCTCTGCTAATACCATTCAGCACATTTTTTTTAGCATTAGCTCACACTATCACTAGAAAGTCTTATCAACACTTCAGACCTATTTTACTTACAAAAATGGCTTTCTGTATATAAACAGAGTTCAAGGTACGTCAAAAAAAATTCCACAACAAACCCTCTCACACCCTGCTCTAATTCTAATCTATCCTACTTGAGCCCCTCCATCCCAAGTAAAGAGCTAAGGGACCCCAGCTTCAATCAACTACACTCCTTCTCCCCTCATCATCAGATGCTGAGAGGCATCTCCGAGGAAATTCATCCCACCCTAGGATTAGACAACAAGTTTAAACAAGATGTCTAACCTCTGGACATGTAACCTAACATGGTATGTCAAGGCAGAGCATCATGTATCCTTCCCAAACAGCTTATAAATCATGCCACCATAATAAACTGGAGACAGCATCCTCTTCACCGTTTCTTGTGAAGAGCTGAACTTTCCTGAATACACAGAACTACCTGGGTTCTTTTTACCACGTAGCTTCCAATCTATTCCTGTCAAATCAAGCCCCAAATCTTTCTCAGGTCCAACGTTTTCGCACTACAGGTGGCTACGTCCTCGGTCTTATCTTTCTCATGAATCAGAGATTGTTGTTTCTAAGCCTCACCATCTGTCTGTGGTTTTGAAAGATTCTTAACATTTCAGATCTGTGACTATGCGATAAAGCTTCCTACTTCCCAGGTATTGTGAATGAACTGCAGCTGCTGGACCCCACCAAGTTTGACCTACTCACACAACTCTAAAATAGATCCGATACTCTTTTCCACCCACTCCCATTCTCCTACAGAAAGGGGGAAAAAAATAGTATCTGCACAATAGCAATGTTACAGGAACAATCTGAACACATTCTTAAAATATTCACGCTTCAGAGTCACTCCCAGGAGGAGATTCGCTCTGCTTGGTCACAGCAGCATGTGTGACCCTTTACACTGCTGACTGACCTTCTCATTTCAAAGGGAAGAACTTTCACAGAACTTGTCTTGGCCATTTCATGAAGGGAACGCATCAGAGCTTAGAATTGCTAAATACCTATGCGTGCTTAAAGGATTTTATTAAACAAATATTGAATTACTGGACAAAATTAGAAGCCAATGTGTAAACCCCATACACTTAGCAATTAAACTAGTTCTAAGGCTACATTAGCTGCTCCTCTACAAAAACCTGCAAGCATCCTTCGACAAGCAACACAAAAATTCGTGCTTACCCTGAGTTTGCGCTTCATCCAGGAACAATTTTAGCCTCCTGCTTCTGAGCCCAAAAACCTTTGCAGTCTCATGTAGAAGGCCTTGGTATGTTAATCCATTCTGACCAACAGGATTTTCCATTAGAAGAGTTCCCACCATTCCTTTCTGACATTCTGAACAAGATAAACAGTTGAGTCACTACTGGTGAGGAATGACAGTATTTCACTTATCTTGGTAAACTGAAATTTAGGATTTCTTCATCAATTTCATCTCTGTTTCTTCACAGTGCTGAGTAATTACCAATACCAACCCATGGATATTCACTAAACTTACAGATATTTAAGTTACAGAATCAGAAGTGATTACTAACAGCTTGACAAACAAAAGAAATCTCTGCAGGATGCTTTATATGTATCAACAGGATAACAGAGACTGAAAATGGAAACTTATCAACGGGACACACAAACCACTACAGAAGATCACAAAGAACCTTCTGATGATCAAATCCCCAGTTAAAGCCACATTTTTGACTCAAGTGGGTTCCCAGCAGTGTCAGCAAGATTCCACAGGGACAGTCCAGAAAGGACTTACACCAGTTTAAGAGCAAGTTACTAAGGACATAGCTATGCCAACAGGAGGTATCAGAGTTGAAGTCACAAGACAGCAGCTGTGAAACAGAATTACATACACATCATCTCTAGTCCAGATGAGGTTAAGAATACAATTCATCTGGCTTTTAAAAAGCACTAAGAAGTGTTTCACAGGTGGTTTACAACATCTTGGTAAAGAGCTGGCTCCACCTTCCATTTTGGTCAGTTTTGGACTCAGCTTTTTAAAATAGACTGCACAGGTGAGCTGATGGTCAGCAACAGGAAAACAATCCTGAAGGGTTCATGTGTAAATGCTGTCCCTTATCTCAAGCTGCCTCTCCTTTTCACTTTATGAAAAGCTTTATGTAAACATTGTGTTCGTTAGAAAGAAAACAATAGGAAAAAATAAACAAAATCACCATCTACCATTGAAAGCAAACGATAGTGTCCAAAATTCCTGTCACAAGAAGCTCAACCTATAAATGGGGAGAGATCAGTATCCCTGCATACCTTGTGGTTTTGCATTCACTAGTTGCAGGTTGATATACTGGCAGAGCAGAGCATCAGGAGAGCTGATCAGAGTGGGTGCTGAGCCTGTTGTCACATGTAGAGTCTTTCCGCTGAGACTAAGCAAGTCAGTTTTGTTTATCAGTTCTGAAAAAGAAAATGAGACCAGTCAGGCCATCACAGGTCCAGTTCTCACTCGATTAGCTGACAACAAGCCTCTCTAACTACTGATTCCACTGTGGAAGTATTTCCCTCTTTGCAATTCCTTCCTCAAGAGCATTTCGAGAGCATTGGAAAACAGAATTTGCACTGAAATGTTGTTTTCTTAACAGAGTACTTCACTCACTGTTGAAATAAGCTCCCATGTAACATTTTTTATGCACAGAAATATACAGTATGATTACTTACTGAGTAAAGAGTTAATTCAGTTAAAATGAGCAAGAAATTATTCACTTAGGCTGATCATTTCTATCTTGTTCAATTAAGACCTATGACCTTAGGTTGTACTCTGACTTCCCCAGCTGAAGCACCACTGGGTATGTGTTACTATGCAACACCAATAAATGTAAAATCAGTGGCTGGTTAGCTCATTAATAATGCCCCCTGCATTAATATTTGTGCTTAATGTCAGCATTCAGCAGATGACTCCAGCCATGAGTATTTAGAAAATGGTGGAAGATCAGACCCAAAATAAGACCCCTGTCTCAAAGGATTTTAGAAGTAATACCAGCACCCTGATGCACTCGGATGAGAAGCTAATGAGGTTTCTGTACTACCACTGAAGTACATAGGGCTGCATTCTGCACTACCTACACGAGCCTGTCTAGCACAGAGGTAAAAATAGCAGCTGATAGCCACAACATTAAAGATACAGAGAAATAACATCACTCTGCTACAGAGATTTTGCAGGTATAAAAATTACTCCAAAGACCAGATCCAGGAAGAATTAATAAATTTAATTTCTTGTAAGAATTGTGCATTGCTTGTACCTAAAGAACAGGCACATCTGACTCTAAAATGCTACATTTAAGAATAAGCTTTTCTTGTACATAACATATAGCTTTAAAGAGAAGGGCAAAACTTCATAGCTGCTTCTAAACTTCTGTTTCAAGAATGAAGGTGTGATGCTGGTGGTGGCCATCCGCCAGCTACCCAAACCCTTCTTTGGTATGCTGAGGTGCAAGGCACATGCTCAGGCACAGGAGAGGGCTTTGCTTTGGGTTTTACTTACAGGGAAGCAAGAAAATAAATTAATAAGTGGAGAGGAATGATCAAGATTTCATCATACAGAAAGGAAGTCAGGAGTAGGTTCAGGAAACAGTGCTAGGAATGGAATAAAAAAAAAATTACTCATGAAAATCAGAGATGAACTAAGACATGGCCTAAGAAGTTTGTGGGGGGATTTTTAAGCGTCTCTTCCCCCCTTTTTTAAGCCCTATGGGATAGACAGCTTCATATATTCCCATAAAGATCAATAAATTGGATTTTTTTTAAAAGGCCTTTTTCAGTATGTTCTACTTCCATGAAAGCTGAGTGCAAGTCAAAAAGCATTCCCAGTAAGAAATTTAGAAAGTTTTCAGCTTTTCAGCAATCTAGAGCAAAAGGAAAGGCACATACAACTGATTTTAGCATCTCCCCAGAGCCCAGCCTCTTTCCTTTAAACAATTAATCTTTTTTTAATACAAAGAGAGACAAATGCTATGCTCAGTTTCTGAAGGTCAATACAAATCCCAGAGCCTTGCTCAGTGTTTGTGCAGTTACTCAAAATACATCGATACACTGTTGGGGAAGAAATGTTTATCCCTTTATTTCAATGTTGCACAGCAAAACAGGGACAGGTCGTATTTCAGCCTGCCTTAAAACAAGAACTGCCTGATTTTGTGCCATTATGCAACCCTAAGTAAATCTTCATTATAATTAGAAAATAAGATAATAAATTACTGCAAGTAAAGTAGACAGCCCTAAAAACCACAGGAAGGAAAATAAGGAGACAGAAATACAGTTTTACTGGGTTGCAATTTTATTAACACACATGGGAACAATTCAACAATAATTTGTTGGGAGTGCACGACCTCCCCTTGCAATTCCTCTCAACAGAGGGGCTGACACCAACCCTCTGCCACACCTCCAAAGACCTTGGAATCACCATAGGCCTCATCTACCACTACCCGTGCAAAGGTTGGGCACATAAAGCAAAGGGATTGTACCCAAACCAATCATCAGGAATTCTGGTTCTGTTCTCTAACGTCTTTAAGAACTATCTTCTTTGTACGTGCCTTTAGCCCTGACTCCTTTGGGAGTCGTATCTTCTGATCAATACTCATTGGAGACCTCTGCCAAACTGCAAGAGAAGGGAACTTGATAATCTCATATTTCAAAGGGAATTTCCACGCTGTTAATAAGCGGGCAGGGAAAAAGAAACCCACTCTGCCCAAAGTTTAAAATTGGCACACCAAGATGGGAGGTCCCAAAACAATTCCTACAGAAGGCAAGCAACATGGAAAGAAAAGAAAAGAAATAGAGCTTTTGTTATTACATCAGAAAAGAACCTTTGAGGAGCAGGGAAGGTTTAGATTCTCTTTACCCCCTGCTTTAGGAATTCAGCATTAACAGATTCATGCTGCATCCTTTTGTCCTGTTAGTGGCAGAAAACAAACCAAATAAGGCTTAATAATTCAGTTCAGCTGAGCACAGCTTTGGAGGTTTTATCACAGTAAGGTAGTAGATTACATCAGGTACGGTTGAAACCTCCCCAAAACTTTCTTCTAAAAATACTTTCAGGAAAATGCAAGTAAGAAAAGTAAAGACAGAGATGGTAACAGTGATCTCACAGACACAACTAAGACTACTGCCCTCCTGATGTCATGAGTAGACACAAACTGGTGACCCTTAGCAGCCCTGTGGGCACCCCAAAACAGCCTTTCACAGTAGCCAGTTGAACTACCTCCTGCTTAAACGTTGCTTCAGTAATATTTGTATGAAAACACGCCAGCAAAAGTTTCTGTAGCCATCCAATTACCAAGGATTTTATCACTTCTGTCGCTCATTTTAGACTTTATATGAATGGTGTGGAAACGAAGATAGCACTTCAAGGGGTGCCTGTAGATAACACTGAGAACATACAAAGAGTTTACTAATACTATTTAAACATCTCTGAAGTCATACCATGGCATGGCTACTGTTAAGCACTCTGTATTTTTTTTCCAAAAGGTGTTTGGTTATTAGTGTGAATTTGTTTCCAGAGTGCTGATTTTTGAGATGGGACTTTTTCTGATGGACTGAAATATTCTACGTAATGCAATACTAAAACAGCCCCTTCACCTCAGGGCAGCAAAAGCCAGTTTGCTGCTGGGGTGTCATGGTGACTAATTGCAACATCTTTCAAAAAGTTTTTCTTCTCTGTTTCAGCTCTATTATCTTTGTAATAAACCCAGCAATGCCAGAGCCTGTGAATCTCTGTATAATCCATAGAGGATACTTTACATTCCCATGCCTTAATGGAGGCAAAGTTCAATACATCAATATTAGATTGATTTTCATAAAAAAGAAGAAATGCAGATCTTCAAGTTTCTCTGGGGTGAAAAAGCAATATTTTCTCCTTTACAGAGAGCCCTTAGCATTCAATTTAGGTTTTGCTTAAGCAAAATCTGATGGCAGCTTGCCAGCAATGTATAGCATGGCCTGGACCCAATGCAAACACTTTCTGAAATAAATCACATTTTGCCCTGATGAGAACCCCAAAGCAAGTAAGATAGCAGAAGACATAAGCATCATTTAGCAGCAGCTTTTGGAAACATTTTGATGTGACTATAAACACAGTCTCATAAAGTAAGTACTATAAAACAGAATATTTCCTTACACATTTTCTTGCCAACTTTGTATATATACAGAACAATTACACAGCAAATAACTCCTACCTGCTGCTACAAAGACCTTAAATTTTCCTTGTCATGCTCCATTTACCTTTTTTTCCATTAAAAACTGTCAGTTTTGAATTTTTAAGACCAAAAATGCAGGATACAGCATCTACAAGTCCAGTGAAGTTCAAGGTGTTATCTCCTTTTGGATTTTCCAGCAGCAACACACCATCTAAAGCCAAAATTAAGAAATTAAAATGTAGTTTGGAAGCAACATCCATGTTTCAATGTTTTTCTGATGACTTTTCCCAATTACTTCCAGTGAGTTTCTAAGCAGACTTAAATAGACAACACTGCATCTCCCAGAAATTTTTTAATAAGAAGGAAAAAGAAAGAAAACAGGGGCACGGCCTCAAATGTACTTCAGAACTAGAGTATGGAAGTTATATTTGGGTTGATTAACAAAACAGTCAAATTTTGATGTCACTGAATTATATTCCAATAATATGTTGATTAAAACCTGACCCTTGTGCCTGCTGAGATGTTCACCAGCTTATACAGTTACGTTCATTACAACTCAGTAAGCAGCTTTGTAACCATGTAAAACAAGGCACACTGACATCAACTGCAATCACATGCAGGAAAGAAAAAAAATTCCGGAGAGTACATTTAGTTTTCTCTCCATTATCCAAGACATAGTTATGTTTTCTAGTTTTAAGTATTCTTTTCAGCTCTATACTTCATATCTACATTTTCAAAATACAGTATGTCCCCCCCCAGAAAGGCATCGCCTACATTTACAGCACTACACCAAGAATTAAAGTTCCCAAGAGACAGACTGAGCACTGGGGGATGTACACACAAAGATACAGTGTCGATGCCTCCCTATAGCTACCCACACACAGACCCTTCTGCAGAATACCAGAAGTTCATGTGCACACCCAAGTACTTCAAGTCCACCTCAGAAGACATCATGGACAACATGTGGTTTTACTTTTAATAAACTTATTTTCAAGAATATTATCGTTACTATTGAAGAACGTTTGCACCATCTTTCAAACAAATTTGTGGCTCAAACACTCATCACACCATTTTCCAAATAACCTTTTCACACCACTACTGACAAATCAAACCTGGTACTTTCCTACCTTGCTCTGTCCCATTAACACAAACTTTCAGGTTGACGTAGGCACAGGCTGGCCCAACACACTGACACAAACCACCTCTGACGAGCGTAATTTCTAGCTCTGAACCCTTCAGCTGAAGAAAGAGGAATATTATAATTTATTATTGTTTATTAAACAACCACATCGAAACATTTACCTGAAATAAACATTAACATCTTGTTGTCCTACACCAAACAGGACTTAAAAATCAAATAGCAACTTGAATTTGTCTTAAATATATGTGTTAAAATATAGCAGTATTTAACACATAAGAAATATGGAGGGGAATAAACCAGCCTAATTTTCAAAAGTGATGAGCAGTCTCCCAAAATACAATCCACAAGTTGAATATACTTGAGAGGAGCACTCTCCCAGAGTATCTGAAGGCAGGACCCTGCTCTCAGCTGCTGTCTGGAGAAGCTTTCCTCTGCCTCCAGGGGGCTACCGAGAACAGCCAGGGGCAGCAGGGCCCTTGGCACCAAGTCAGCCTTTGTGAGCATCTCCCCATCGGGTACCAGGGAATCAATTCAGACTTGAAACACTTCCGCAAGAAATGGAACATGGACCTTCCTCTGCAAACAAGTCAGGATGAAGTGGCTTGAAAATCTGCAGCAATGCTGCAGAAACAGACTTATTTTGTAGAGGCCCTAAACAACAGCTTTTTTAATGCTTTTTCCAACCACAAGGCTTCTCCTGAAATAAGTATGGGCTGGAACTGCTCCTGCACCTGCACCAATTTTCATGAGAATCACACTTTAAAAGGTCTCTTAGTTAAAAATTTTAATTAAGCAAATATCCAGAAATCACTTACATGAACAACTGATACTAATGGCCATCTAAGCCAATTTTTTGGGGTAAATTTAGAGAGGGTCTAAAGGGTGAACAGACCAACTTGTCAGCACCACTTGTTACGGAGCTCCTATTACAAAGTAGGGAACAACACTTATGGAACAACAAATCTCATTTTGTGTTTACCCATTCCACCAGCAATTAAAAATTCCTTTTTCAAGTAGTTGCTTTTCTGTCCCAGTTGCTTTCTGTGAAACTGCTGATTTGGTTTTTTTGCTACTTTTCAGAGGAAGCCTTTGGGACTTTGGTTCACAATTAAGGCCTTGCATCAAAAATTGATCCAGGATAATTTCACAGAAATAATGATCCTGAATGTCATCAAAATGCTTGCAGAAGAGACAGACTGCATTTCAATTTTGTCCCAGTCTTGACATACGTTTGACATCATGCAGAATTCTCTAACTCCTTTCAAGAAATTTGGTGCAATGATCCTGTCACAGGTGACTCACACCCTCACCTCTCGAATTACATGCTTTGTTCTTTTACCTTGCATCTGCTTTTATATCTGAAAGGGTGTAATAGTCATTAAAACATTTTCCACGTCAGTGTTGCTTATTAGCCCCCACCAACAGAAGACAGCTGATGCACAATTCAATTTGAAGTCACATTTTCCTAGCTTTTCTGCCTGAAACTGCTGACCCCTAACCACGGCTGTGCCTGATGCACCAAACTACACATTTTGTTGCACACAGCTGCAGCTGTCCTCAGCTCTTCACAAAGGGCCAAACTTCCGCACTGAAAGGATTTCTAAAGAAGGGCTTTTTCATTTCAGGTATTTTTATTCACTGCTGTGAATGTGACAAGCTAGCTGCAGCAGAACACGGAGCACAGCATCAAACAGCTGCCCTAAACAAACCACACCTGCAGTCCCAGGAAGCCAGGCTTCCAAGGAAGACTTTACAGTTGCACTAAAATTTCCCTCATCATCTTCCCTCTGCAACCTGTAAAGTGTGTGACTAACAGTTCAGAGGCACAGCAAGTGGATGAGCACAGTAACCATCTAAATGTGCAGAAGGCAATCCGCATGGCAAAGACTACAGGCTGACTCTACAGGAATGTACTTTGTAGTGATTGAGACTCCTTGAAGTAAAATAATAACAACTTATGAAGTTTTTCTTTGCCTCCATTTACCAGATAAACTGCACAGCTTTGGTACGCAGGATTTGCAATAACTAACTCCCTCTTAATGCTTTTGTTTAAAAAAACCCTCCAGGCCCAAGATGTACGCTGGCCATAGGACCATCACAAGACAATTACATTTCTGTAAACTTACTCATCAGCTGCAACACCCACACAGAACTCTCCATTGCATATACTGTTATTTCAGTTAAAATGTTTTAGGTTGTCTCAGTCAGTAATCCAACATTTGTGCAACTGCACAAGCCTGACTCTCAAACCTCCTATCTCTGGTTTGCATCCTAGTTCATCGTTTCCAAAACTGAAGGGACATCTGGTTTTTGCAGACATCCAGACAAAAGCTATCAATTACACCCATAATAACCAGCACCTTCCGTCAGGGCAAGATTTCATCTTTACATAGACAGCATTATTTAAAACTAATCCATAGACTCATCCCTCAGCTTTCTGCACTGTTTTTCCTCACTAGAATCTGCTGAATTAAGATTTAGAAAACAGGAAAAAAAAAAAAAAATAGTGGAGGGGAACCACACTTGCACAGGCATACAAGCTTCACAGAAAGATACAGCGATCAACATTAGAGCTGAGGTACCAGGCCACTTCAGAGGAAGGCATTCAGACAAGTGTATCCCAGCACTGTACGGGATTTTTCCGGCTGCTTTAACATTTTAATTCAGATTTGATGTTGACAGCATCAAAGTGTCCATCAGCAGTATCCCAATCAAGTACTTAGAAGAGATAGTAAAATATTTTCACCCATTTCTCATCCACAATATTCTCCACTTCTATGGAGTGTTTTTTCCTGTGTTTGTCACTAAATTAAACTAGTAGCTTTGCAAAAGACCAAACAGAGCTTTCTTTCAAATCCGTACAACTTTACAAGTGTAATTAAGTATAAAGCATTTCCTTTAAATATGCTGTCGTTAAGATGGATAAAATATGCATTTTCCTTTCAGCTATTCTCTGGCCCTCAAGCCATTCTGTAAATCATATTTGAAGGTGGATATATTGTAAGTTTTTGTCTTTCTGGTCTAGCATGACATGTAGATTGAAGAATATTTCACCCTTGATTCTATTAGGAATGCCTTTTGAATACAGTAAGTTTGAATAAAACCATGGCAAAAGTATCTCAAAACGTGTCAGAAGCAAGGATCAAAGAAAACCAAGGGAACAGTTCAAATCTGCTGCTGCAATAATAAGCTGTGAAACTACATTGTTGCAAAAGACAACTTCAGCAACAACAAGGGAGAAAAAACACTAATTACTGAAGTTGGTCTTAAGCCAAAAGGCTAAATTTAGCCCTGGAGGAGAACTTTTCTAATACAAAAGCATATCAACTTAAAGAAATCAGAGCAACAATATTTTTGCTGTCTAAACAATTCATTCATCCAAGTACAAATAACTACGTGTATTAAGCTTACACAAACAACTACCTTCAGCTATTTTAGTATCCAAGCAGCTTCCTTTTCAAAAACACCACACATGCAGAACCCAACTATTTTCTTTCTTTAAAGCAAAAAAGACCAATATGGAAATTTATAAATATGGAACAATATCCACTATACTCCACAAATAAATATTGACACAATCTTTCTGTAATTGAAGCTTACTGTTCAGCTAAAAGCAGACAAAATGAGCTATACAGTCAGTGTTTTTTTCCTTCTTACTTGGGTTGTTTCCTGGATGAGAACTTCTTTTGAGGTAGGCACCGGGTAAGGCTTCAGGGCAGCCTTTATTGTTGAAAAAATAAAATCCATATGTTCCTTAATAACAGTATCCAGGTAGTCACCTTCTGGATGTGATCTGTAGTACACTGTGATCTCATCTGTAGGAACCAGATTTCTCTGTAGGATACACCAAATATACTGTTAGTGACAGGAAGATGATTTTCACATATGCAAACTAAAAGAATATTAAAGGTAAAAAAAAAAAAAATGTTAGAAAAATATTTACCAGACATTTGTTAAAAGTATCCATAAAAGATTTAGAATAAAACAATTCTTTTATCAGAGTGGCAAGAAAGAGGCTTGAAACATGGTGAGGGTTTCTTCAAAAGATAATGACCCAGTAGTGTAGCTTATTCAAATGTCTCCCTTCCAAATTCATTTGCCAACTCATCCCTTTAGTGAGCTGAAATCCTCCCAAATACAGCCAAAAGGTTTTCCTGATGCCTGAGAATTCACTAGCATTGACACATCCTGTTAGCCTGCAATTAAACCCTCCTTATGGAACAATTGCTCAATTGCTGACATTTCCCTAACACCCAACAGTCTCCAAAACATTCTGTAATTGTTTTGGAAGGTTGTGACTAGACTTCCAAGTTTTCACATTTAGTTCTGTCACATCTCACACACTAACATATACCTCAGAAAACGAGCAACTAATTTGAATGGCACACTTATTAAAGCTGAATTAGAGCAAAATTCTGCTTCGGTAAGAAAGTGTTTTCAAGTAAAAAAAAACTGCACCAAGAAAACTTTAATTCTAAAATCTGCTAAAAATGATGACTGCCCCAGTGCCAGTGATAGCTACTGTGGATCTGGAACCTGTAGTTTTTACTATGTGTACACTTTTGTAAAAGGATTGGGAATGAAAGAATGACAGAATAGGTGCACATTAAAATTATAATTATTAGGCAAGATTAAGTATTCTGGTGTTCATTTAAGTGAAAATAAATTATGGCCTTATATTGTTGCAGAAGTAAATTTAAATCATCCAGTAACTTATGAGAGTGTTTTCTTTTCATGGTCACATTCCTTCCTATTTTTGTTTTACACAGAAATAAATCTGCATTTTTTTTCATATACATTATTTTATATCTGTACATATATATATATAAATGTTTTGGTACAGATTTGTCATTTTTCAATCTTATATTGAAAATTCACGTAGTCTTAACTGTACAGATATCTTTCCAAAAAAATTTGTCCCATGAAAATCTTCTCTATGCATCATTTAGAGCTCCTGCAAGATTTCTTCAGGCATGAGTCTGCAAAAGATACAAATTCTACCGTGCTGCCATTGAGGAGGAAAAGCCTACACAGCTCAGAGAGCAACAGGCTCCACGTCTGCAGTGTGGATGTGCATGAGGGGACAGGGGACTGGTTTGGTTCGTGAGTCCTGAAACCCTTCAGATTCTTTGTACAAAATTAAATATTACTACACGTCCTCTGCAGAAGAAATGCTTTTAGACTTGTCATCGCCTCCGTGGTGACCCTGCTTTCTGGGCACAGAATGGAGACAGGGAGTGCAGCTCTTTCTGCATGAGTGTTGTGGAGGGAAGCTCTGTTGGTTCCAAGCGCTCTGACATCAAGGTCAGGCAGCATCATTTGTATGTATGCTGAGAACAATGTCGAGCGGAATCATTAACGTGGCTACACGAGCCAGTGCCAGAAATGCTAAGCCACCCCTTTGTTTCTTTTAGCAGTCCTAGGCTCGGATGTCTGGGCTCTCACCAGCCCAGCTGACGTAAGCCACCGGAACCAAGATGGAACAGAAGGTAATTCTTGGCAGGAGGAAGTCAGGCCCGAGAGCTGCTTAACTGGGACTGAACCTCTGCTACGGGGCTGAAGACAGAAACCGAGAGGGTCAGCAAAATAAATTAGTTCGTGCACTACGGATGATGTATAGCAAGCTCATTGTTCAGCTTGAGCTACTTAGTAATATGGGAATTCTGAAGGAAAATAATGATTTGTATCATTTATGTCTCATCAGAAAGCTACAGGAGGATTAAATGATACAGGGCTTCATGTTTAATTAAAAAGGTCAGCTGCTGCTGCATGTTGCCCAAAGATCGCTTAGAAATAAGTGAAAATGCGTCCTAACCTTTTTACGAAGCTTCTGGATGCGATTAATCACTTCCCGGGCAACTCCTTCATCCACCATGGACTGGTCTGGTGTAACATCTAGCAGAACTAAAACCTGGGGTCATGTGCAGGAGACAGATGAATAGATGACACACTTGAAACAGCAGATAAGAACTCACTCTGGAACCCAGGTACACTGTTACAGAGCTCCTCACTTAAAAAAATACTGTGTTGAAGAGAGCACTTTAACACTCAAAATTCAGAAGGTAGGTTCCTGGAATTTGTTGAACTATCTGAACAAAACCACCCAGCTTTCACCTCAACATTTTCATGTTACTTCTAGAGGAACACTTCCCTTAATCAGATAAAAAGGATACATAAAATACCAATAAAATACCTGGGCATCAGAATGTGCCTCAAACTGGGTAGATGCTCCTGCAACCTGATCAAAGGTATACATGAGACGAAGATCTTCCCCATGCAGTTCATGTCCTTCTACAACAATGGTGCCTGCAGAATTGGCAGATGAAGAGCATTGCTTACAATCAGAGTAAAAAAAATAAGCAACATTTTTTCAATTCAAAAAGCTTTAAAAAAGTACCAGATTGAAAATGTATGAAGTGCAGTGTGTTTGCAACGCAGCCAAACTGCAGTGAAGCACTAGCAGGAAACACTGACCTATCCCACATTTGGGGTTTTCATACACGCACTTCTACAGGCAGCAGAACCCATTCAAATGCTGACACTTCAACTGTTCAGGTACTGTTTCGCAATGGGATAAAACTTAGAAATAACCTGTATATTTAATCACAATTTACATTTGAGCAATTAACCAGTATAGCTGGAAAATTCACACCCACTTGTGAATCTGGAATTGGAGCAATGCTTTTCAAAGAGTAAAACTTGCCCATAGACTCAGTTCAGATCTGACTCAGTCTTACAGAACAACTCACTCTGTTTTGGCCTTTCAACAGCCCTTCAACAGCCTAAGATTAGGCTATGTGGCCACTTCTAATCTACTCTCAGCAAAATAATAAAAATTACTATTCTCCTGTTCTCATTAATGTAAAATATAATAGGGCTGACAACATGGAGGTAGGCCTCAAGCTTCCCTAAGCCCACAGGATACTTTTGCATCTCTTCTTGCAAATATTCCACTAATACACACAAACAAAGAGCAATTCCTTAATTTTGTTCCAAGGAGCCAAAGGATTTTGGATTTTTTTCTGGTGGACACCACCATCCTTCAGTGGTGTGTACCCCTACATACCCGTCTCCTGGAACTCCTCCAGCTGCTCACTCTTCAGCTCTTTGATGGCAGCCATGACAAGCTTGAAAGCCCCTTTCAGGCGCTTGCCCAGCACCATGTGATCCGGCTCTGCCCTCAGCCGCACTCCATACTTGTCTTTATCCGTAGAGAGCGTCACATGGCGAACGTTAAGTTCCTACACCAATACACCGAGAGGAAAAAAAAAATGAAGCTAAACTAAAGAAAAGCCACTTCTGACAGGTGTGGGAAGGGTACAGAACCAGGGGCCACAGTTCTGGGGAAGTCATAGGTATCAAGCTGCAGACTTTTCATATCTTTGTCTCAGCTTAGCAATTTGCCAACACTGCAAGAGCAACTAAACCCAACCGATACTAAAACAGCCCTTCAGCAGAAGGTCCCATCCTCCTCTCCAGCCTGTAGGTAGACATGTCTTTATTCTTAATGGACACCAGTCGGCTCTCAAAGCAGATCCCTTATTCAACAGCTTTTTTTATTCTATCATCACAACTGCCTGAAGAGATCAAACCGTTACCTTTGTGTCCAATGGCATTAGAAAATGGCCTGGCAAAATTCAGGAAGAAAAACTTTGCCGAAATAATCCTTTTGGTCTGCATTTAACCAGAAAAACATAACCAACAATTTTATGGTTTGGGTTGTACAAACGCTACTGCCTCATTTTGTCTCTTTCCTTATCCGTTTATTCTAGGTCCTTATTGTACTAAAAAAAACAAAACAAAACAAAACACACTTTGCTCAGAGAAGCTCCTGTCTGTGCTCTGCAGCACAAGGCCAAAAATAGCTTGTAAAATCTGCATGAACTTCAGGAGAGGCTCCAGACCAAGCATGTTATTTTGCCACTACCAGAAGCCTGGCTGTGCCTATGTCTTTTAAGTAATGCATGCAGGTTTTGTCCTCTTCTCTGAAGGGGAATAGAGTGGTGCTGTGGAAAATTTTACAGAACAAATGATGAAGAGAACAGCATTGCCACTGTATGAGGAAAGACCAAAGTTAGAACTTTTTGGAGAGAAGAAAGCTGAAGGGGGATATGACCGAGGTTTAAAAAATGATGCAAAAGGTGGGTAAGGACCATAAAATTGTTATTCACCAAAGCCCTAGACAACCTCTCAAAGTAAGGAACCATGCAGCGGAAATAGCAGGAGATGGGTTTAAAAAGAGATATATGAGGAATTAACCCTTGGAACTTAATGCCACAGGAGGAGGCAGGCAGGGGTGTACCACCAAGTGCAAAAAAGGAATCAGGCTCCTAAGAATAGTCACATGACAAGGCGTTAAGAGGACAGGCAGACATGTGCCCTTGAGTGTCTCTAACACAGCTACTGCAGATGGTGACTAGCCAGGAGGGAGGTGCTGCAGGAAGCAGCCAGATGCTTGTGCTGTTTCCAAACAGACTACTGTTGCAGGAGACAGCAGGATGTGCTAGATAAGCCACGAGTCTAAACCACCAAGCCATTTCTTACCTTCTTAATTACAATTATTTTCCTCATCACATTAAAACTCCCATTAAGGAAAAAAAAAAAAAAAACCACACACCTTTTTACACACCCTGACCATCATACAATGCCAAATTTGTGTCATGTCCTGTATACCTCCTGTAAATAAAAACACTGTATCCCAGTGTTATTTTCTGCCTTCCAAGAGTCTGGTCTTGCCCTGCTTCGTAAACAGGCACAAGGCAGGACTCGAGACCTAAACTCCAGTTCCACACAGTCTCACTCTCTGTTCTTGGTGTAACATACCAGGGATGGATCTTGGAAAGTTTTTATTGCCAACATGCAACTCTCCTACAGGTACAAACCTGCACGTATCTGGAGCACATTTAGTTATAAATTGGCAGGTTCCATCTGTCAGGCTGCTGAATACTTAAAGCATTTTGTGTTTAAATCTTCACTAGAAGGTTGCTACAGTTCACAACATGACACAGAATCACCAGGTCCATTTGGCAAGCAAGATACTCCAAGTCATTTAGGAAGCAGAAGCAAATGGAAGTGTCAGCATGACAGGACTAACAAGTAGCCAAACATTTAGGTTGAGAAGTAATGCTTAGATACAACCTCTGAGCTACAGTCTAATTCCCTAGGAAGTCCTACTGATATGAGGAGCCAAGAGTACAAATGAATTTCATTTTATTTAATACATCTTTCAGGAAATCTAATTAAAATTATGTACTTCAGAAAATCAGTTTTAATGGGGCACTGTTGGAAATGAGCCCACAAGTGGCAAGTGACAACCTCGTGGGGAAAAAGAAATAATAATCCAAAAACCAGCACAAATTGAAATATGACTCTAGGCCAGATTAGATAAATTACATAGAAGCCAGCTCCGTCAGGACAAGTTTTCTATACTAATTAGATTAGGAAACCATCCTTCTGTATACATTATCAATTAAAAAACACAACGACTCTTCCACAAAAAGCAAGTCTGTATCTTAGGTCTGTTTATATCTGCCTCAATATACTCTTTAAGATAGTTCTTAACTTTATCTTCCCAACAAATGAAAATTAGCTCCTTAACACATCTTCCAAGCCTCACACACAGAAGCTGAGATGACCAGCCCTTCCTAACAAGGAAAATAAATGCTGATGATGTCATACTCCAAGAACTAACATGTTGGAGGACCACACGCTGCCACAGCTTTGTGTCAGTTAATTCAGGCCATTCGTGGGCCCAGTCTGCTATGTTACTGGACCACAATTAATGCCATCAAATACTGGTAGACCTCAGATTTGATGAGGTCAAAGTGCTCTGTTTTGTGATAGCCATAGACAGGGTATGTATGAAGAGCATACAGAGGCTGGATGCAAACAAGACTGATTGTGCATAGAGGAGAACTTACTCAGATGAAACCTTTCACTGGAAGTAGTTAGGAAGAAAAGTCTAGAACTAGGCTGTAAAAGGCCTCAAATACTAATGAATAAAATGCAACTGTGTTCAGTTGCTAAAAGCCTTGTGGACTGATTTCATTTTCTGAGGTTGGCTGTTTGTCACAACTCTCTACTCTGGCCAGTTCTAATATTAAACTCCATTTCTTTATATGATGTGCTGTGTTCTGCTGATGAGAGAGCAACACTGACTGCAGATCAAAGTCTGCAGCTACTTCTGAAAAAGTGATGAATTAAATTCCTCAAGAACTGACAAGTGTATTTTTCTTTTGTCAGCAACTGCAGGAAATGAAATGGTGTAATTTTTCTCTCCAGATTACTTCTGGCACCCGTAAATTTACTAGAAACACATCTCTGCCAATAACTAAAGGTTCTAAAGCTCTGAGTATGCAGGAGGTTGATGAACAAAGCTGCAAATACAGCCTGGATAGTATTACCCAGCCTGCCTGTAATCATGGGCCCCTTCAGCTCTGAACCACTCTAGCAAACACTAGATTGATTGCAGTGCAATGCAATAAAACACTTACTAAGCTTCAGCATGAGCTTGTGGAATTTTAAGATACATAATAAAAATAGGACAAGACAGTGTTTTATATTCATGTTTCCATAAAGGTATTTGAGTTTGTTGTAACTCCCCATATGACATATGTTTGCAGTAGCAAACGAATATAAATGAACACATACTTTTGTACAATTCAATTATGTAATAATTTATCAAACTGTTAAGCCCCTTTGTTGCCTTTTACTAGCTCTGGATACTGACAGCAAATTCTGTCAGCTATTTTTTTGGAAGTAATTTGAGTAAGCAAACCTCAACTCCCTTAAAATTGGATTCTGTAAAATCTACAAATCCAATCTTCAGATCAAGAAAGTGTGACAGACACTAACCTAAACTTCACACCTGCTATTGAAAAGATCCAGGTATTGAAATGATTAATAAAAACGGCAATTCTGAAGTGAAGCACCAGAACTGCCAAGCCTAAGAGAAACAATCAATAAGCTAACATGACAGAAAAGCCTTACAATCCCACTTGCAAATCAATTAACGTTCTTTTAATTAAAATTCCTTTAGTGCACAATTCTTAGGAATTGAAAACTCACAGTAACTAAAAGCAAGCAGCATACAACACTGATCCGGAAGGCTTGTGCATTGAGCCATGACTCCCTAAGCCAGTCCTCTGGAGTTGTCCCCAGCAGAATTTTTAGAAGCCTTCTTCAGATGTATACTAAGGCTTGGGGAAAGGTGGTATTGCTGGAATAATACATAATTAGAAGTTGAAGAGTTCCCCTGTGGCTTCAGTCATCTCTTGAATTCTTTGACTGACATGGTTGCTCTCACCAAGACAAGGGAGGTGAGTTGATCTTGCTTGGGTAGCTGCACATTTTTGTTCTCTTTGTCACAGAAAGCAGCTGATCTTGACAGTGACAGCCTGAACTAAAAAAGATCTAATTCATTTTAAGCATGTGATTAGGTCTTCTGTTATGGGACCCTCTGAATGCACCTTCCTGATAGGGAGACAGAATCTTTAGCCTGCCAACGAGAGCATATGGTAAAGGCCATGCCATTCCTGGACACGGGAAAAAAGCCAGTGGTTCTTAAAATAGAAAAATGTTTGAAGACCTGTTCCACAGCCTTGAGAAAATAAAAAAAACATTGCAAACACTTACAGAGGAAAAGAATCTGAAATGGGAAGTACCAGAACCTAACACTTCACATACCACCAGTGAGCCTCAGCTACTGAAACTGACCATCACCAATGCATCCAAACTGCTCAGAAAAGTGACAGATCCTGACAAAGGAAAGCTGACAGCAAGGTCAAAGGTCAGTTATTAGTCCAAGCACATTGGACTTAGTAATCTAGAGGCCATTAAAGGGAAACACAAAGTACACACAGATTGCTGAACCCGCCAGTGCTGCGTTCAGGAGAGGGAAGAGGGGGAGAGCACAGGCAGAGCACAGAGGTCTTTCAGACTGCTCAGATATACAATTATATTGCTGTCCAAAATTCTTTTTCTAGTTTTTGCTCATTTAAACAGAGATTGTTTCAAACAAGCAGCTGTGAGAGGGCAAGACACGAGAAGGCAGAGCTTGCACTTCACATGCACTCAGAAATTGTATTAAGGCTTCTATATGAAATCTTTTGCTACGGTTCAGGAAGCTGATATTTTGGGAGGTTGTCAGTTTTTGTATCACAGTGTACCTCTTTGATGAGGACTTTACACTGAGGCTAGTATCTTTTCCTCAGAAATGTTTTATCAGGAGATCTTGAATGGAGAAGCTGGTCTGAACAGCTACCTTGGTGGCTTTGTTTTGCAAGACCACTCCTTCAGCTCTCATCTGAGAGAAAAGCTGGCGTGTATTCTGCCTCAGTGAATTAAGAGCCACACACAGATACAGGAAGATTGCATAAGAGAAAGATTCAAGTGACAATCCAGACAGATTAATACACAGAAACTGTCATGACATAACCTCCAGTTGATATTAAAGTCTAACCCATGCATTCTGCCAACACCAACTCAGTTCCTTTACAGTTCTGCTTTTTTAGCAAAGGGCTGCTATTGGCAATGCAATTCTTCCCTCCCCAAAAGACACACAGCTACAAAGATGAAGTCATGGCTTATTTCCCCAAGGAACACAATGGAACATCTGGGTGCAAAGTGATCTTCTATCCCAAGGAGAAGCTACTGCAGCAAGAGGAAATCAAGGCTGCTCAGGAAGAACAGCACTGCTTAACCAGCCTTCCTTCCCCCCTCCCTACCTCCCAGAGGGGTTCTGAGAGGCCTCTAGGCTTTCAGTGGAGATGATATTACCTCTAACTCCCCATTCAGCAAAGCAATTATAAAGCCCCCAGGCAGCTAACACTGAGAAATCACACATAGCATAGTTCATGATATCAAAGGCACGATCGTGACAGATTTAAGTACTAAGAATCAATGGTTTGCAAGATGTTTGAAAGCCCCAGCACCTACAAAATACTTCAAAGGCAGACTGGCATAGTAGCTGTTTGGGTTTTTTTTGTTTGTTTGTTTTTGGTTTTGTTTTTTTTTTTTTTAATTTTCTTTTTGAATAAAACCACCATGGCTCATCAAAATTCATCCCCGTAGCTGAAACACTCTCCCTTCTCACTCCTCCTTCTTACTGTTTGGTTTCTCTTGTACGTCACAGATGTGAAAGAAGATCCATATAAAGTCTATCTATAATGAATTTTCCTTTAACATAAAGACAAAAAAAGGCCAACTTTACAGTCTTTTAAGCAATCAAAAAGTAATAGGCTTTGTGCCTTCGCTACAGCTTCAGAAATGCAGTACTGAAGTTGAAAAGATTTATTTATAGTATAAACATATAAAGAAACTTGATTTATTTATAAACAAACTCCTTTTTAATTTCCCTTCTCAAAATACTACAGATTTGTACGTGACTGGCTAAAAGCAGAAAGTGCAAGCAATTTCAGGAAGTTAAGCTCAAAAACCCACAAAAGGTTACTTTTGAATGACAGGGCTTTTATCCAAACAAAGCTTTAGAAGCAGGGCAGGCTGCATTACTCTAATGGACACACATTAAGAGTACTGCACAGAGGAGCAGAAGAATGTAAGTAATGCCAAGAAATTGTACAGGCTAACATCTTATTTGACATTTTATTTCCTAAACAACATCCTGAGGAAAAAAAAAAAAAAAAAAAAAACACAAAAGACTAGTCCCCTACTCTCCCTCAGTTGGAACTCCTCTCCACCAACCCTTCCCTTTACTGCCAAACTGGTTTTTACTGCCTTGTAACTGAAGGAAATGACAAATTTTGCAATCCACATCTTTGACAACATGTTGTTGACTATTGTCTTATTTTCATTCAAAAATTGTTTCTTTATTTCACTGATGAAAAAAAAAACCCTACATTTCTAACAGGCTCTGAATCCTATGTGGTCAGTTTGAGCAATTAAGTATTTCCCAATACCACAGCTGACTATGGATCACCAGCCATTTACCTTCACTTCTGTACACAGGACCATGGATATCATCCCCTTTCACTACAAGTCTCCTTTAAATTCCTTTTACCTAGTCAGTTACTAATACTACCAACAGGGAAGATTAGGGCTTGGTTTGTTCAGGTAACCAACATACAACCCAGCTAAGGGGCATCACGTTCACCATGTTCTTACCTCAAGAACATACTTCTCCAAAGATCTGATGTTTTCCAGAGCTGCTGGATCCTGATGGATAACAACAACTTCTTTCAAAGGATACTGGGGAGAAGGAAAAAAAAAGGAACAGAAACATTTGTCCTTTCAATTGACAACAAAGAACGTTGGAAGTTATGATTTATCATTTGAAGTACTTTATTGTTGAACTCTACCTGCTATCCCAAAGTTAATTACTCAATTTTCCCAGGCATATCCCCCAGTTAGAAAGCTATTGCACATTCTGAAGCTGTTGATAACGAGACGTTAAGAGTTCTAACCTTTACTGGAATGGTTTTTCTGTCTCTGATTACTCGTCCAAGCTCAATAACAGACTGCAAACAAGAAACGGCACTTTCAATTTTTTTGTCGATGAGATCCTCCCTAGATTAAAAAGAAGACATTATATTGCTTCATTTTCATGGTATCTGTTTGAGCAGATTAAAAACATTTTACCCCATTCTCTGAAATCTCCTACAAGAGACTCAATTATGCCCTGGTTTGGGGCAATAAATACAAAAAAATGAACAGTTTTTTCTTCTCTCTTTGTGTAGAGGAAGATGTGGAAATAACTTGCTGAAAATAAAAATCAGAGCTATTTTTATAAGCATCTTTAGTTAGTGCCTCACAAGATGAAGATGATGGATTCGAGTCATACTACCTATTCTATTAATATCCAATAAAAAATACTATTTACATTCACAATTTCATAAGAAGATAACAGATATGAATAGGATACTTATAAAAAAAATGAAATACCTATAATGCAACCAACTCACTGGATCTCAATTTATAATGTTTCCCAGGAATTCTACATATTTTAGTTTGCTGTCTTAGAGCCTTGTTATCTTTCCATCATTTTAACACCCTTGCACTTTGAAGCAAGGCAGGATTGTTGGTTTCTTTATATTTTTTTCCCCCTCTTTTTTTGTTGTTGTTGTGTTGTTGCTTTTTGGGTTGTTTTGGGGCTTTTTTTGCTGGGGGTAGGGGTGAGGGGGTGGGGGTTATTGGCTTGTTTCATATTTTTTTGAGTAAGCTGACATTCACATCTTGTTTCAAATGTACTAGTGTCCAACAGTTCTGAAAATGTGTTTTTCTTGGTTTCTTGAGTAGATGCATAAATTGAGCAGCTCCTTTAAAACTGCAGAAGTATCACATCAAGGCCAGAGAAACTGGTCCAAAATAGAGTTGTGAATAAAATGAACAAAGCTGCTTGCTGTAATATAAGCTGCAAAAGCACTGGGATGAAAACCATGCAGGCAGTAAGGATTGTCCACAAAACCAGGACTGCCAACACAAAAATTAAAAGTGAAATATCCCCATCTTCTGCACTAGGGCTTTGATGAAAACATTGCTACCCCTTTTGAAGCTTTTGTTCCTCCAAAAGCTAGTCTCCAGGATGGTCCTGCAGAAACTTGGAGAGATGTAAATTGTGAGATAGGTTCTTATATTGTAATGCAGCAGTGTGTCAATGTTACTTGCCATTACTTAACAAAATTGTGGAGCCACAAAATAAGAGCACTCTTCACAGATGCCATACACATCCAGAAAATCTAATGCAGCCAACCTCTTCAGGCACTAAGCAACCAAGTAGTACCTCAGTGTCATTTGTACCACAGGTATTAAGTCAAGTTCAGCTGTGAAAGTGTCCAAGTCCCTTAGGTTTATCTATCAGTGTGATGGGTATGTACAAGGTACTGTTTTCTTAATGGCATAAAAAAAGGTCTCTTATTTTTAGCTGACAATACAGTTCTTAAGCAGCTATCAGAATATATTGCAAGAAAAATGTAACCATGTGCTTAGCAACTCAGGGTGAAACTCTAAAACTTCAACAATTTAGTCCAGAAAACATGTCTTTTTATCTGAAAAAGGGAAGAATTGATATATAAAGGATCCAGGAAATTACACGAACTAGTAGCAGACAGAAATTCAAACAAAGTCCAAGAGAAAGAGGAAAGCCATGCAAGCCACTCAAATACATCCTGTGTTTGCATGATGCAGCAGCAAGTCAGCACTGACAGGAATAAAGAGTTACTAAGCCACTTTTCAACGCTCACACTGAACCCATGCCCAAACTGCAAATATCTCCCCACCCTTCCACCACTCCATTCTGCGGGAGCTCAGAACCATTCCTGGCAGCTCACTGACAAGTTCTGTATCCTTTGACTACAGATTCTTTACAGCACTTTCCCAAGGATCAGAAAATTGGCACCGTCAATATGTCAATCTCCAACTCCTTGTTGCATTAACTCTCACTATTAAAGCTGTCAGAAAGAACATACACCCTCCTCAAAGGACATAGCATCTGTAAAGGAAACACCATTACTAGAAGGTTTCAATTATTGAACTGGCACGTAAACTATCAAGGTCAGCTGCCTTGTCCTTGAGGGTTTTCAAACTGCATTGCACTGGAAATGGGAAGTTTGTGTCACTAACTTCATCTGCTAACACACCACCAAGGAACTAATGAGCAACTGATTACTGTAATACAAACATGTCCCTCAAAAAAAATCCCTGGATTTGGAGGAAAAAAAAAACCCAAACAACAAAACACACACACAAAAAAAACTCCAAAAAAAAACAACCAACCAAAACCAACCAAAAAAACCCACCACTTCAGTCATCAAGTTCTGCCGGGGTTGAGATACTACTGATAACCCAGAGCCTATCTCCAGTACAACCATCACAGACCCAAACCTTTTTGAGACATGCTGACACTTAACAATAAAACCTCACCCAGCAGCATCCAGAGAAACAACCTGTCCAGAAAGCTCTCCCATGTGATGTATGCTCTTAAAAGGAAGCCGCAAGCTCTGGACAATGCTCTAAATTCTTGATCTGAAGCCAAAAGGACTCACTTGGTTGGCTCCTTATGTGCTCCACACAAAACCATGACTCTAATCCACATGGGGTCTGGGATCAGTACTCACTAAGAAAGGCCTCAAGGTGGGGCAAAATGTAGGGCGCACAAGAAAGTTTTATAATCCTCTTGGGTGATTCATAGGTAGGCATTATAGCTTCTAGTCAGCACATCTTGAAGAGTTAAGAGGACATCCCTTGCCCATCATAAGAAAACATGAAACGTGAACATGCACTCCTCCTAATTGTTTTCCTTCCTATCCACAATCCTTTAACCCAGCACAAATCTACACAAATGTGGAGGGAAAATTCCCAGCTAACACTGAGTGTGGAGTATGAAGTATTCTGCCAGTGAAATGTTCTCCTACAGCAAAGAGACTTCCATTAATCAGAGATTAATCAATACTTAAACACTTTTTGCTTATAGAAAAGAATGTTAACTATCATCATAAAATTCTTCCCAAGGCAAAGGAATATTCACATTATTAAAGCAGCTTGTTCCTTGTTACGCAAAATACTTTTAAACTTTTAAAATAAGGGAAGGAGCACTCTTCTGTGAAAAACAATTTAAAAAAAAAAAAACAAAAAAAAACACCAAAACAATCAATCCACCAAAAACCAACAAACCTCCCAAAAACCACCCACAGCCCAACCAAACCCAAGCCCCGTTTTGCTGCAGAAGAGCTGTCTCTTACCTCACTTGGGGAAGCATGAGGTAGTGGATGCTTTCAGTATTCTTTTCCTGAACTGAGGCTGGATCAATAAGTGTCTTCAGATTCTGGTACATCAGCTCAGTGATAAATGGAGTATATGGTGCCTGTAACATTGCAACCAATCAGCATCCTCTCTCTATTGTTTGTACATTATGAATTGGTAATACTTATGAATTACATAAGGACAGCTCAGCAAAAACAGAGCTCATACAGTATCTTCAATGCAGAAGTGTGACAGTATTCAAACTGCAGACTGAAATAAACGGTGAATTTGCTACTACTTGTTCACATGGTGCTTTGGGGCATCAAGTAAGAAATCAGGTCTCTTGATTAGTCTCTAACCCTAGTTACTACAGTCAGTTTAGACACAAAGATGTGTGCTTATAGATAAACTGCACTGAAAATGTCAAGTAGTTACAGTGGGCTGTGCTTCCCTTACCATAAGTCTGCACATGGAGAATAAAACACTAAACAAGGTTTCCAAGGCCATAATGCAGTCTTCAGTCCCATCCTCGCCCTATTGGAAGAATTCACCGAGGAAAAAAAAACAAACAATAACTGCAATTTTACAATCAGTAAGTGCACTACTTAAAATTTTTAAATTCCCTATATTAATGCAATAAACTAGTTTGCTAAAGTATTCATTTTACTCAGTCAAATCCAGCAAATGGAACAGTAGCTGGGCATTTTGGTTGGTTGGTTTTCTTCATAAAAGAAAGGGGAAAAAAAAAAAAAAAAAAATGTTAACTTCTCATTCCCCCTCTCAGGTACATGCTGATTCAGTTTAAAATGCAGCATACAGTTTTTGTGTAACACCATGGAGCTGCCATCCTTTAAGTCAACAGACTACTAGGGTCTTGTTTGCAGTAAATACTGCAGTCAATACCTACCTTTAGTCTCCTGCGATTCATCCTAACATACCAGTTGGTGAGAATATCAACAAACTTCACTAATCGAGGGACTACTGTGTACAGCCTGTAAGCTAGAAGGAAAAACATTTACTGTTGTTAATATTTGCCCTCTGCATTGAGCTCTTCACTTAGGAAAACTCAGTGTCATTTGTAGCTCTGGTGTTAAACACAGAGCTCAAGCAGCAGCACGTATATCAGGAAGATCCAGAAAGTGATTAGACACACTGTTATGTTAAAAGCGTGTTCTGAAATCACACATGTCATCAATTCTCCTGCTTCAAGACAAACACATCTACCACCAAATTGCTTCCCTAATCCCACTCAAGCATGCATTATGGAAGCCTTATGCTTTTATCTGAATCATAAAGAGGATAGTGGATCAGAGACCATTAATCACCAAGGATTTGGTAAATCCTAGATTTGTGCATGCTTTAAATACAGCCAAGTCACTGAAAGTTTAACAGAAAATACTGTGAAGTCATACAATAAAATGTGACTAATTACAGCCAACACTTTCTATTTTGTTTACCAGATTTAAAATGAGACACCCGCTCCAATCAATTCTCCCTGAATTAACTGCTATTTTAAATTATTTTTCTAAGTAACACAGGAGGCTAGAAGAATGTAGAGCAACAGCAAGCCTGACGAGGTAAGAAGATAAACAGAGTTGTATTTTCAAGTTCTGTGGAACTTAAAAGCATGGAGGTCTGCCAGCACGCTAAAGAAGGTGATCACAAGCATCACTATGCAACGGGGAAAACAATTTCAGTTGTTCATGAGTGATGGACCTTAAAGAAGGGATGGACCTTAAATAGGACTCCCGTTTTCTAAGGAATACTTTTATATAACTAACTTCTCTAGCAGCAAAGAGCTTTTTGATCTCTATTATGAATCAGTTTCATTAATCAAGCAGCTACTGAATTAAAATGGATCTTTGCTTTAAAAGCTCCACCACACTTTTCATCGCGTTTTCTGAAACAGAAGTGTTTTTAAGGCAGAGTACTGGCATTTAAACCTAAAAAGGAAATGCTCAGAAGGTTCAGGCCATGGTGGGGAAGACATTATTTATGTCGGAATTTAAATCTGTAAAAAATTCCCAGACTTTCTTCTAGCTGTGCGTTATCTGCTTAGGAGAATGGTTAGAAACAAACAAAACCCCCCAAAAATCCCACCCTTTGGGGATAGTACACACATATGCAGGCGTGCACCAGCCACACACACGCACCGCCCACGCGCACCACCCACGCACACACCACCCGCACACTTCAGCCATCAGGAAATAAGTTATTCTGTAAAATAATTTCTTGTATCAGGCATTTAAGTAGGGGATAAAGAACGCAAATAAGGCTGATGGCTTTTAAATACAGAATTTTAACCTACCCTTAAAATACAAAGGATTCTTTGCCTTATCGCTTTCCATAATACATTCCCAGTACCTTACCACTTACCCTATTTACTAAAGGACGCAAATCCCAGAAGTTTCCATCATAAAAAATGAGGCTTAATGGAGAAACTACACTACTATTCAGTAGCTAATCTTAGAATCACTTTGTCTGGAAAAGACCACTGTATACAAATTTATTGCATCTCATTAATACCTGACTGAATTCAGAGTTTATGCAGAAAGATACACTGAAAATTCATGTTCATTAATCATCTTCCAAATGAGATGTGTCACTCACTTGCTGAGCACATCACGTTATCTTCGTCTAACACAAGCCAACACGAGCTAATACCAACACCGCACTCTGGGAAGTCTTTACAATTGTCATTTTCCAACAGGAATTTTCTTCTCCTGCTTGGATCTTCTTGCTTTGTGAAGACATCAGCTGACACAGCCCTTTTATGAGATTCATTGTCCTCTTGGAAATCCAGAGCAGAGAATTCCAGTTTCTACTCCCATGTTAATCTTCTCACAAATACTACTTCTGCTTAAACCATGCACTGATCCAAGATCCTAGGTACACATTCACAAATTCATTTTCCACTGTCCCTCCTAGAATTTTCCTCTTCACATGTAGCACAAACTTTCAAAGGCTCCGTCTATTTCTGTTTGGCAACGCATGAAGCTCAACACATGCCACCACCATATTTTAAGGACAAAACTTCTAGGAAGAAGACACATTTTCATCAAGAACAAACAGCTGTTATCGGCGTCCTGGTTTTGGTAGCTTGAGGATTCCTTCTTTCTTTAATGGAATGTTCTTAGATGACCTCGCCTGAATTTTGTTATTTCCAAAGTGACCTGCGTTATCTACTGTAGCAGGACAAACTCAACTTGCTTGTCTTGGTGAGGGTGAAGATCATACCAGTCTGAGAGCTGGGGAACATGAGAGATGACTGAAGCAGAAGAGGACTGTCCTGTGTCCTCATGAACTCAAATCTGGCATTTAGCTGCCTCCCCATTATGTATTACCCCACTAATATCTTCCTTCCCCAAGCACAACTGTGGAAGGCTTCTAAAAATTCTTCTGAGGCAACTTAAGATCATAGGCATAGGAAGCAGTGGTGGTTTATTCATGAACATGAACCACAAAGTCAAAAGCCACCTTCTTCCCAATATTTGGGTTTCTAGTGCCCTTAAAGGCATCAAAACATTTTCAAATCCTGTTGTGACTTTATCTGCAAGTTTGTAAGCTTACTGGATCAGACCAGCTTCTTCAGGGAGCTCTTGCAGCGCCTTCTCTTTGAGATTAATATAATCTTAAAATAATATGAGTATTGAGAGGTATGGGATGATGAAAAAGACAACATGCAGGAAGGAAAAACAGGAAAGTCTCTTCTTACAGCTATGAAATATCCTAATGCTGTTCCATTCTGCTGCACACACTCCCAATAGGATTACAAAGAAACCCTCTCCATGGAACCACGCAGAGGAAAATTTATTGCCCATGCTCATGTACCTCTCAAAATTATTTCACTTAGCTGAATTGGGCACTGCCTATTTTATCCTTTTTTTTTTCCAGGTTCCTCAAATTCTAATTGGCTTCTTTCACTGCTGTCTTTCAGTTACCACTGTAATACCATTAATTGCTCCAAGATGATGTTACAGCAGCAAGCTACAGCACTGAGCTCAGAGGAATAGCCATGACACAAAAGCCTCACCAACTTCTTGAAACCTCATGAACAAGGATACTAAAACCTGTACCAACACCCCTTAAAGCACCATTCCATGTTGTTACGGTAGCTGGTTAAATATTTCCTACCTTTAGACTGAAATGTGAGTCTCATGTGGAATCTGGAAATTTCTGGATGAAATGGCTAGTTCTTGAATCAAAAATTAAACACCCCCACATACACAGCCGACCAAACGTGCATACCTGCCATTTCAGCTTTGAAGAACTGAATGAGTGATTGGGTGAAAGAAAGAATCCATTTATCCATGATGTTATTGCTCTCCTTAACTGTGTTCTCATTGTAAAGGAATTCTCTTCCCTCATCCTGTCATCAACATACAAGCACAAAACACATTTTTAAGTCATAAGGGTATATATTCAAATCTCTATATCGAACCACCTGTCAGCCACTAATATATTGTCACGTTCCCTGTGTTGCACTGATTTCCTAAGAGAGAACATTAAATTCCAGGAACATGTACATAAGAGGAACAGCCAAGGAAAACCTGACTCCCACTGCTGCTGATTTCACCACACCACACCCAAGGAGGCCAGTTCTTTGGATCTGTTAAGCCAGATCAGAAGCGGTACAGCACACAACGGTATGCGCCCGTTCCTTCCCTGTTTGCCATCTAAGTCTCTTGAACTTACACAGCTCCTTCATCTAGGAGGAGCTGAAGCACTTACAAAAAATGTACCATGAAGATGAATTCTATTTGGAGAAAGGAATCTATAAACAGTATCATTTTAAGAGCACGTGACAGTTGTAACAGATTAAAACACAGAAGAATGTAACAACCTGAAAAAGCTGGGGGAATTTTTTAGACATCCAACACACGTTTTGTGCATTCTGTGGCTTTCCAGAATACTGATACTTGCACCCACCTAAGAAATTCATAATCCTTTGCTGAATTTGTAAGGCACTGAAAGTCAGAACACTTGTTGGTGCCTACAGTCTGGCTCCTGTCCACATGGACGTTCTTTTGAGTGGTTGAAAACAGGGCTTTTGGTAAGGTTGGTTTGTTTTGGGTTTTTTGTTTGTTTTGTTTTTTTTTTTTCACATTTACAAACAGTGTCTAACATCTGGTTTTAAAAGTCTTTGGACTTTTCCTTCCCTGAGGGTCTAGATTAAAAACAAACAAACAAACAAACAAACTAAAACACACACCTGTCTGGATTATTCAGCCAAGCACTTATGCATCCTCTTGCACTGCATACAGGAGAAGATTTTTAGGAAAGAAATGCATCTGCACACGCAGAAGTGCATCAACCCCAGCATGAGCTCCGCAATCATTTAACCAACTACAATGGCCACGCTAATTACAGCAAGCATGAAATTATTATTAGACTTCACTGGGATTGTGGTTTCTCTCTTGCAGGATGCAGAAAACAATGAAAAAGTTGTTTAAGCTGGTGTGTGAAATCTAATTGAAGCACCGTCACCCCCAACAGGACATTCTTTTGCCTAATATGGTGCATGGGAATGGCTTCACTATCTTTTTAGAAAGAAAAATTACATCTGCTGAATTATCAAAATTATCTGCTTAAGCACCTGGATTTGCCACAGGGGTCTTCCATCCCCAGTTTGGCTGATCTTGCAAGATTTAACAGAATCACAGCAAAAAGCTGCAAAGCACACTTCAGATAATTCAGAGGTCAAACAAGAAAAACTGAAGTATGTTTTTGGGTCAATGCCTAAGTTTGTCTGATGAATGCTGCCTAGGGATCTTAAGGAAAGATCTGTTAAACATTAGGATCTGATGTTACCAGATTTTCTTCCCAAAAGGGCTTGTTGAAAAGACCAAACAATTTATTTAAGTCAGCTATTTACTGTACTATTTATTGAAGCCAGCTGCCTTTATGGAAGCTCTCCATGGTGATTACACTGCTACTGTAATTTCATATGTAGTACAAGATTTGAACTCTTTTCCTTAGTTCCCACTCTCCCATAAAAAGTCTGTATTAACAAGCGGTAACTTTCTATCATTAATCTCAGCTGAAAGATTAAAATTGGTTTCAACAGAACTATACAACATACACATGAAATCTTAAATTTAAATGAAAAATTACAGCAAGGTAGATACTTGAATCTTGCTTTCATTCTGAAAGCAGAAGCTGCTGTCACTCGTTCAGCTTTTTTAGTAGACTTCAAAGGTAATCTGCACATCTACAGCATTATTGCTTCCATGATTTTCCTTTCCATTCTATTTCTTTTTTTCTAAATTGTATTTAAATTTAACTCAGAGTAAAAAAAAAAAAATGAACTGTCACGTTACAGAAGGTAATCTTCTAGCCACAGCTAACGTATTCAGTATCAAGTATTCCCAAGTTACATTTTTATGCAGATTCATAATTAAAGTTACAGTACATGAGTTAGCTCAAGAAATTGTCCCAGCAGCCACTACTGAAAATAATTTTCTTTTCATTACTTCTTTGCTGTTCTATTTGCGTTAAATCTGCCTGCTATTAAAGCAGTGTTCCCAGTGCAGAGAAACTTACAGTCCAGGTGCCATCCTGACCATCCTCCCTGCGATGCAGCCATGCCTGACTACATGGTAGTGTGGGTAACAGCAAAGCAAAAGCAGCAGCAGCACTCAGGGCAGCATCACTGACATCGGCTCCCTCCAAGCTACTGCACAAACACTGGTAAGACAACCACCAGACAACCAACAAGGCTTAGGATGGACATTTCAGAAGGACTCCCTCAAGGACATGTGGTACCTGGCTTTTAACTGGTGTTCCCAGTAAGGTGTCAAGCAGCAGCAGAAAACTGCTTAGTATTTATTAATCCCACAGACTCAAAGTCCCTGTCTTGTTCTCTAATTTTAAGAGTATGAATGCCATGGTATCATATTTATCTCAAATAAAAAGGAATGAAGAGCACCCAAGTCTGAGAAATGACAGCTGTTAGGTCTTGACAGTCCCCTACCTTCCACTCCTCCTTTCTGTATAATAATAAGCTTGGTCAAGAAGAGAAAGATGCAGGGTGATTATAGCTTTAAAAAAAGAGAGCCAATAACACAGAAATTAACATTAAGTATATACAATTGATCTAACTTTGAAGTCAGCCTTGCTTTGAACAAGGAGGTAAAGATCAGATGACCCCCAGCATCAGAGTCCAGTCCCTTTCCAACCTCAATTTCTCTACGATGGCAATGCGCTCAGAGCAGAAAAAGCACAAAGCCCTCTCTGCTTTGCTCTGCCGTGCTCGAGGGATCTGTACCTTGTGCTGCAGGATCTGAACATTCTGCACAAGAAAGCGATATGCATTGTACCAGGGCAGGAAAACATCCTTCAGGATATCCCTTACGCCTTCCTCCTTAAATCTCAGATTTTCTGCTCTTACCACAGGTGAATTGATCAGGTATAACCTGCAAAATAAGAACACAATATTTAGAACTGCATATACTGATAGAAATTAGCTTACAGTAAACCCTAGAGAGCTGCAAGAGAAAGACAGAATACTGCATATGGAATTTGATTTGGGCCCATTGCAAATACAGGGCTAGGGAGCCAGGCAACGCCAGCAAAACAAAGTAAAAGAGCAGAAATTAGAAATTAATATTTTCAAGCAAGACAGCCCCCAAAGAGGACACAGGGTGTGCCTCCTACCAACACTGATGTGCCTCAGCTCCAGAAACAGCTCCGCAAGAGCCAAGCAGAGGACGCTGACTGTTTAGATCAGAAGCAGCCACTCACAGAGTCACGCCCACCTCGGCCAGCGGGGTTCATCTCCACAAAGAAACCCCCCCTGTCTGAGGAGATCCTGCTCAGGTGAGTGTCCCTCAAGCTTATTTCAGAGAAATGGACATGTTCCCCCAGCTTCCTCGCTGGCTGCAAGTTCACAAAAAATCATCTTCGTACTTTATCCCATCTTCTTTCCTAAACAAATACTCTGTCTATAGAGATAAACTAGTATCTATCAAGTTAACTCAAAAATAAACCAGGTCTTACTCAGATACCAAAAAAAACCTTGAATATAAACTTGATTTAGATACACTTGATTTAATTTCCCAAATACGAAAAAAAAAACAATCATTTTTTTAAATTTTAAAGACCTTGGCATTTCCCAATAGAAATTTATTGACTCATTTTATCAGCTTTTAAAATCATGATTCTAAACTAATATATCTTTACAGGCACTTCCTTTAGGAGGGTTTAAAATCTTAATGGCGAAATGGGTATTTGCAATACTGTATTGAAAAATAAAGGCATATTTAAACATGCTATCTGAATTCAAATTCTAAATTTACAAAAGTATAGAACAATTAAGCAGGGTAATGAACTAGGAAGTCCTTAAATCAAGCTAGAAATGTTAAGTGCATGTTTAAACCCGCCTTCCCATCACAATTATTTATGTGCTTAATCTATATTTCAGAACTCAAACATATCTTTACTCCAAATACAAGAGCTAGTCCAGCCCTAGAGTACAGCAGGATGCTCCAGGCCTTTTACTAGTTTGGGACTTAACTAGACCAATGCCCACTTCCAACTACCTCCCCTGCTTTTCTCCCAAGGAGGCAGCAACACAAACTTATCACAGCCATGAAAGATCCACTAAATTGCGCCTTCGCTGCAGCATTTTCAGCACAATCTATCAGAATTCTTCTTAAAACTGCTCTTAGCCTGAGAAATTAAAGAAAATGTAGCTTTCTAAGGCTACAGTTCTATGTTGGTATGGGTTTTGTTTTGTTTTTATTTTATTTCTTTTAACACAGCAGCCCTACACCACCTTACAACATGTAAAAGAATAGTCAGTACCTGAATTATTCCAATGCAATGACACATCTATTATATGGAAAGAGAAATAAGGCACCTGATAAAGGAAGAGTTCTACTAACTTAGGTTTTATTTTCTGCCCAATGGATAGTATCACTAGGTGTAACTTTCTCAAATAAGCCACCGTTATCAATTTTTCTAACAACGTATGAGAAATGATAAAGTGCTCTCCTTTTCATCTCTCTAAAACTGTAGTCTCGGGTGTCGTGTTATTTCTTCTGCATTTTAAGAAAAGCTTGAGAGGAAAAATCTAACACATTGCTTCTACAACAATACTTACCTCAGGACACATGAAAGCAAAGGGCTTGTAAATATTAAGACCAGCAAATTCTCCTTCTGACACACTTCAACTTTGACAGCTATCCAAGCCAAGTCATAGGTGCTAGGACTATTGAAATATAACTGGTTTTGACAATTCTTACAGATTTCACACAGGATTCAAGTTTCGGGAGGTTTGAAGTTGGGCTCTTAAATTCATTGTGCTGTTATTTCTTCTCTTTACCCTTTCCCTTCAATTCCATATTAATTTAAACAACTTGATATCTATATTTTCTGTTGATCTATTTATCAAGCTACTGCCGAGAATGCTTCAAAGAGATTGTTTTAAAAAAAAAAAAAAAAAAACCAAATTTATATATATGTACTGCAAAAGCTAAAGTAACTCTGCAGGGAAACAGTGCCAAGGAAAAAAACTCAGTTGTAGTTTTTGCTATAAACAGAACACATCAAGTGCTTCAGTGAGTAAGTGGAGACAAGTGAATGGCAGAGCTCCTTCCACACATGAACCTAGTCTGCAATACCTTTTACTCCCTATGTGGGTGTATGTATAAATAAATGTGGCATTAAAGAATGAGCACACAGGCAGAGAAATGAAATAGCTTTTGAGAAATAGAAAACCCCATGAATAATGGAAGTGTAACTTCTGGTGTTTTGATATTTTATTTGATTAAAAAAGGAAGGTGTTTTTTTTTTTTAACATCACCTCCGATTTTAAATCTTCAACATGAGTAACTCCAACCCTTTTCATTCATGTTGTTCCAGCTACCAATCCACTGATATTCTGCTAACACTCATTACTAGGACAGAACAATCTTGATTAAATGTAGGAAACCCACTCAACTCTCTGTTGTACACATATAAAAGATAATTTATTAGGTCTTTTAAATGCTAAAGCTTGACACAATAAGGATACACAATAACATCTCTGTGTTTTTAAATTATCTAGAGCAAGCAACAACCACCTTTCTCAAATAAACAAACCCTAAAGAGCACTAACCACGTGGTCATTCAGCCCCACCGTTACCATGTAGTTGTAACACACTGTTCAAGGTGGGACAGTTTAAGGTTTTATCATATATAGCAAGAGTTATAGGGCTCTTGAGAAATAAGTGGCATACTCTTGCAGTTAGTAAAATGTCTTTATTGTACCTTTACCTCTAGGGTACCACCTTCTGCATGTATTTAGCACAACGAGCCATAGTAGCAGGTGTCTGCATAATTAGCTTTATACATTAGTATCATTTTAATGAAACACTTGAACTGTGTTTAATCTCTGTTTGACCAAGCCAATTTATATATACAAACATTAGGCTGCTCTACTTCTGCTTCTCTTGTTTCACTGCTATTAGGTACATACTGTATATTTACATCAACACAAAATAAATGCTTTCCTCTTTACCAAATGTAAACCAGTACAGGTTGGGGGCTGACCTGCTGGAGAGCAGTGTAGGGGAAAGGGACCTGGGGGTCCTGGTAGACAGCAGGATGACCATGAGCCAGCAATGTGCCCTAGTGGCCAAGAAGGCCAACGGCATCCTGGGGTGCATTAGAAAGGGTGTGGTTAGTCGGTCAAGAGAGGTTCTCCTCCCCCTCTATTCTGCATTGGTGAGGCCGCATCTGGAGTATTGTGTCCAGTTCTGGGCCCCTCAGTTTAGGAAGGACAGGGAACTGCTGGAGAGAGTCCAGCGTAGGGCTACAAAGATGATTAAGGGAGTGGAGCATCTCCCTTATGAGGAAAGGCTGAGGGAGCTGGGTCTCTTTACCCTGGAGAAAAGGAGACTGAGGGGCGACCTCATCAATGTTTACAAATATGTAAAGGGTGAGTGTCAGGAAGATGGGATTAAGCTTTTTTCAGTGATGACCTATGATAGGACAAGGGGTAATGGGTGCAAATTGGAGAATAGGAGGTTCAAGGTGAGTATCAGGAAAAATTTTTTTCCTGTGAGGGTGCCGGAGCACTGGAACAGGCTGCCCAGAGAGGTTGTGGAGTCTCCTTCACTGGAGTCATTCAAAACCCGCCTGGACGCCTTCCTGTGTGATGTACTCTAGGTGGTCCTGCTCTGGCAGGGGGGTTGGACTAGATGATCTTTCAAGGTCCCTTCCAACCCCTATGATTCTATGATTCTATGAAATGTATCGTGTGAGCAGCAAACAAACATTTCTGTACACTATGCAGTAAACCTTCCCTAAAATACTGATTTTGCAGTAAACCAGTAGTATTGTTCTCCATGATTTTATTCACATTTTCACTGGGTCAACTCAGACTATTAGCTGCCATAGCAGGCAGCACTGGCTCGAGTGGGAGCGCTCTGTACAGACTGGACATACATTTTCTGACAAAAGGCCTCCAGTCAGCACACCAGCTTTGGTTCTTACCAGCCTTAAGGGAGCTAACAGAAGGGTATAGAGAGTCCAGGTGCTGTAACTACCACCAGTTCTTTTTTGTCATCCACTCTTTCAGCTATTTGCCTGCCACAGCTGTCTAAAAGTTTCTAAAATTAACTTTCTTCCTCCTGTTAAGCATCAGAAACCCATAAGCAACCCTGCTGGTACGAGTCTGCTATGAAAAGAAAGCTAATAGATCAGATTACATTAATCAAAGAAATCCTACCTTAGTGCATCAGCTCCGTAACTATTTACAATAGCCATTGGATCAGGATAATTCTTCTTCCTTTTGCTCATTTTTTGGCCATCGCTAGAAAATATTAGAATGTAGGCATAAATTCTCAGAATCCTTGTAATACATGGATAAAGACAAAAGACCTTTCAAATCCAGCTTCATCTTTCTGTCCTATTATGTTCTTGGTAGCACAGACGTAACTACATTTTAGCATATCATTTCACTATGACAGTTGAACCCACAAGAGCAACTAAATTCAAAAAAATTTAAAATGCAACAACCCAAGAAACTCCCAAGTCACAAATCTGACTCTTCTCCCAAAGCTGAGGGAAGATACACTTGTTTTGAATCAATTCCTCCAGCCTGCTGGCAAAGTTCTATTTGAAAATAAAGGGAAACAACTATAATTAACTTATTTGAAATTACATCTAAAATGACACTTATAATCCCCTTTGCTTTGCATAACAGGTGCCATTTATTTCCTATTCTGACTTGTTACTCATTTTCTCTCTCCCTATAGGAAGGACTAATCCTGTTGGAAAGAACCTAGTGCAACTGATAGCTGGGATGTGTAAAACTCACGCTCTCAGGTGACTCTTACTTCCTGCAACACTGATACCTCCCTGACAAGTTTTAACAGCTCCAAAGTCCATTTCAGACTTAATTTACAATTCACAGGGACTACCTGAAATATTCTTTGACTAAAAGTCTGTTCAGGAAAGAACTGGCTGACATACCAACCTGGCAAGAACGAGGCCATTTACTATTACGTTCTTGAAAGGAGGCCTTCCAAAAAGAGCAGTGGACAGCACCAGCAAAGTGTAGAACCTGAAAAAAGAGACAACATAAAAGTGACTTTCTTAATATGCCAGGCTAAAGTCTGCATGTCCTTCTTTACAAAGGCAATTTTTCATTATGTTGTTTTACTCCAGCAAAGTTTAAATTTAAGTTTGTAGAACATTTATGTGGTGAAGACTCTGAAGAGTAGCCCATTGTAAACAGACCTTTTCCCTCTTTGGAGCATATTGTGCTGCTTGCTTATCTGTGACCTACTAGTCCAAGAAGGTTGGAAAACTGTAATTAAAAAATTGTAGCATTTTCCCCTTTAATACAGAATAGAGAATTCTATCCCTAAACAAGCTCTCTGTTTGCCCACTGTAAACCTCTGAACCCAGGATCAGTCAGGGACAGACACAGCAGACAAGACTGGCACGCCTTTTTTTTTTTTTTTTTTTTTTTCCCCCCCATGTGTGCATTCTTCAGCCTAGCAGAAGAGTTACTGCTGGGAACATAAAAGCAAGTTTGCAAAAGTGAGCAGCCTCCTTCCCATCAAGCAAAGTCAGCTGGTTAAATTAACCATACTAGAAAAGACGAGAATGTAGGTGGTCCCCACAACAAAGGGCAGTGGGGGGTGTCCCCCCCTCCATTTGATGTGTTTACCATGATTCTGTAAACTATCTGGACACTTCAGAAATCATTGCTGGAGCAAGCACAAGTACAATATTTCAAAACATGATTATATGTGAGAAATTAAGTGGAGGTGCAAGATGATGTGATAATTTCATACTCAGGAGTGAGAACCTTCACCAAAGCTCATCTATGAGCTTCTGCAACCGCACTGCTGGTGACGACTTTTAAGACAATAATTGGAAGGTGGGCCACAGCCTTGCTGGTTAAAAACGAGTGTCACACTGATGATTGCTTAGCAACCTTAAACCAGCAGATGATTCTAAAAAAGCTGATTGATTTAGAGTAAGGCACAGGAGGTTACGGCTCAGAGCTATGTATCTGTATGAAGATGTAGTAGAGAAATGCTTAGGGGGGTGGAACTGGTGGAACACCACCTGTATATTCTGAAGTAGGTTTTGTCAAGAAACTGGCTATAATCGCAAAATCAATCTTCTGACACTTGAGGGTGCAAAGCCCTGTAAAGATTGCTGTGTGCACTACTGCATTTATTAAGTGGTTTACAAGACAACTCTGATGCTTCCTTCTCAGAGAAGCTTTTAACTCTCAAAATCACTTCAATTCCCACTGCAGGATACACATTCTTTTTATTAAGTTACATTGAAACTTAATGAATTTTAACCAAAACTCCTTCACCTACGCACAAACGCAGGCATTCAAAATCTCAGTCTTCATTTTTAACCTTCTTATGAGAACCTCTAAACACAAATATCTGAGCATTTGCGCCCATGATCGACACCTCAAGCCTACAAGACAAGTTCATTACAGACACAGCATTACGTCCTTAGTACTTAGTATGAAGGTACCTCGCTGACAAACTCCCATCACTTTCTTCAAACCGGTCCCAAATTGACAAAGCAGAACCATCCAGAAGAGATTTCAATTCTGTTTGTATTAGGAAATCGTACAAACCAACTGTGGGCACTGAAAAAAAATACATCCAAGAACTTCTAACAAATTTTGTTATTTGCGTTGTCCAACCCAATGAGCCTCAAAAATGAGGCACCGAGGCTGGTGACTGTGTCGGGAAATCCTTCGATCCACTGGTTTACACAAAATTCTGACATAATTCTTCTGATTCTTCCTTTTTTTAAAAAAATCCATTTCATTCATTCTGAATATTTTAAAGGAATGTCTCTCTGCACTGGATTTTTGAAATGTCCACTGGTTTCTCACAACTTATCTCTGCTGCTTCATCTTCCATTCACCAAATCTCAGCCTGCTTCCAGTTCTGTCCTTGCAGAAATATAGTTGTCAGCCAAAACAATAGGAAAAAAACACCTTACCACTACTGAGACTGACACCCACATCTTTGCTCTTCTTCCCTCCTCTTCCACTCCCCTCAAAGTGTACGTCCTCATTTTCTCCTTTCCTGAACAATTTTGGATAAATTCATTTGGTTCATGACAAAAACCTTCAGATGAGAATTCCCTGCAGGCCACTACACTCTGACCCTGGCTATAAATCTTGTTGCATCTGCCTGTCTACAATCAGAGACAAAGCCTTTCCTACTAATGTGTCCAGACTGTCAGTCTTGCAACCCAATTACTGTAAGATTTTTTTTTTTCCTCTGGCCTTAACAAGTACAATTGAGCTCTTACTCATATGCATGCAAAAAGTAATCAAAAAGATAACCCTCCTAGCTCATCACCTTGATCACATTAATTTTCCCCTTGTCTCCCTTGACTTTCTCCCCTTCTACATTCAGTGGAGCAAAAGCCAGCAGACCTCCACCTCCTGAGCCTTTCACCACCTATCAGTCCTCACTAGTCAGCCGCAGTCTCTGACCTTATACAAAACGAATCTTCACTTTGAATCTCAGCACTTAATACAGAACACTTCAAATAAGAATCACATGCTATGCTCCTGACACTTCACAACTCACCAGCTTGTTGTTCACTTAGGCTTATTATGGCACAGAGCTCTCACAGCGTAGCAGAAAGGTATTTGTGTCATACCTTCAAAATATCCTTTTTTCCAAGAATTTGGAAAAGGTAACTAAAAGCCTAACAGTTTTAGAATGAGAACTCTTCTTAAGAACAGCATGAGACAGCTTTTTCGTTTACCAAAAAACCTACCACCTTACATATTAATTCCTTCTTTTTCTCCAAAACAGAAGTGCTCCTTTGCAAGCCACAGAAGACTAGCTGGTATCAAAGCACCAGCTCATTAACAGACACAAGCACCCTGGGAAAGGTGTAAACATCATGTATTGAGGCAAATGCTTTGATATTCCAAGATTAAACAGACTTGGGTATGGTGAAGACTTAGAGTAACTTCTGCTGATGTTTAAACCAAAAAGCAATCTACTCCAGATTGTCATGTGAAAGTCTCCACTGGCATACCGCCTACAGTACAGGACACAAGTGTGTGGGCTCACACCAAAACGCAACCAGAGTCACCACTGGCACTAGCATCAGCTTGGACTTCCCCTGTTATTTTTCCAGGGCAAATTTGCAGTTGAATTTTTTGAGACCATTCAGTTCAACCTACTAAAGAAAGCAAAAGAGGTCACACAAGGTACATTTACTATTTAAAAGAGAAAATAATGTCATAAACCTGAAACATGAGAGTTAGCAGATCTGGATGCTGCACTGCGTTCAAGTTTAGATTAGTATCCTACTATAAAACAGCTAATCTGTGTAAAAACTACAAATGGTTACTTTAACGGCACTACAGAGCTTCTCTGAAAGCTGAGATCAGCCTCATCTTTTCATCTGTCATGTCTCCCACACATGCTCCTAAGGAGAGCACTAAAAGAAACACTGCAGTAAGTGTACAACATGTTAAGCCACAGTGACATCCCAATCTCAAATAGCTCAACCCCAAAACCTAAGATTTATCATTCCTCCTATATTTTTACTGGAGTTGTAACTATCAGGAATAGATTTTGGATCCACATAAAAACCCTGAAACATTTTAAATTGTGTTGAACTTTTACAATCCAGTAGCTCCCTTGCACAGCATAAGAGTGATCACGTTGTCAAATTTCCTAAATTTGTTTTAATTTTTTGGCATCTAAATTAAAACAAATGTCCTTTTATCTTTATGAAATGTAGCAGGGAGAAAATCAGTTTCTGACCATGCCTTTTACATGCCTTTATTACATATCCTTTTATTCGCTTCTTTTCAAAAAAAAAAAAAAAAAAAGCACATTTTCCCCCCAGACAGAAAGAAAATAACAAAAGAGGGAAAACTAAGGTTTTTATTCTCTTTTAATGAGCATAATGAACAATGGTGCAGAAAGACTAACATATGTAATCACTAGTATTACAACTTTTCAAGCTATTTTTCTCCATTCCTTCTTCATTCTGCACTAGCCTTTTTCTCCCAGATAAACCCCATCACTTTTCCTCAAGATGAAATGGGTATCCTTTAAATATAATACAGTATATAACATTCCATTTTATATGTAATATTTCCTAAATTACCATTCATCGAATTAACAGTGCTGTATCCAGATACTACATGCAAAGAAAACATGTAAAGAAAAAGTAAATGAAATGTAGGGCTCACTGGAAATACTGGATCCCACACTGTGTGAAGAGCAGCAAGCAGAAAACAATGACCTTGCAAATACAGTCAGTATGTCCCTCTGCTTCTGGGTTTCATGCTACTCAACAGTTCGTAGTTGTACACCAACACCCAAGATGCACCATGACTGTGATATACAACCATGGAGAGCACAGACTTAAGGATGATGGCCTACCAAAAACTAGGAGGAGAGAGAAAGAGAGGGAGAGAGAAAGAAAGGTGCCAACTATGCTCCAGAGGTATTTATTTTACTTTAATAACTCAAGTTACTGGATGAAAGAGTTATGCTTGTACACACTCAAATGCATTAACCTGGACAACACAAAAATTCATCTTAAAAATCTGTCAGTATTCGCAGCCAACCTCAAACTTCAAAAATAGGATAAACACTTAAACACTAAAACTAAAACTGTATGTATGCATACATGCATGAGAACATTACCCAGAGAAAATCTGAAAAAAACTGTCATGAGTAGTTGAAAAGCATTTATGCAGAGAGGAATCAAATAGGCAGATGAAGTTTACAGTTAGAAAATTTGATTCTTGTGAGCTGTAAGATCTTAACAACTTATGGGGTTTTTTTCTTCACTCATAAACCAAACATTCACATTCAATCTAGGGGGCAAAAATTACTAGCATAATTACTATACGTTGGTTTGAAAACTTTAAAACATTGACTTCTACTTCAAGTGACTTAATTGCTGTTCTGTTTCTAGTAACTAAACTCAAGTCCTATGATGTAATGGTTTGAAAACAAACCAGCGAGAGACTCCAAGTCAGAAATACAATTTAATAAGAAAAAAAAAAAAAAAAAAAAAAAAAAAAAAAAAAAAAAAAAAAAAAAACCACAAACCGTGCGCAAA